GTGTGTGTGTGTGTGTTTGTTTGTGTGTGTGTGTGTGTGTATTTATTGTATATGTATATATGTATTTATTGAAGATGCAGCGATCTTCTTTTTTAAAACACGTTGTGCAATGTTTGATTTCGCTTTAATGGTCAAGATATTTACTGCAGCTTCGTACATGAACAAGGATAATTATTTTTTTTATTAAAGTAAGCTATCATGTTGTACTCATCTTCAGCAACATTGTTGTTGACTTTTATAGACAAAAACACGGGTAACAAATGTATTTCATCCATTGAAATAATACATACACAAATTTATTTTATATATTTATATAAAATTATTTTAATTTATGTAACATAAAATATCATAATAATAAACAAACACAAAATTTTGAGTTTTAAGTGAATTGTAATATCGTAATAAATTTACAAAAGTGTACAAGCTAAATTAATCAGAATATTAGCATTATTATACTTTTGTGTTTTGACACAATATTTAGAATAAACATAAATATGAAAATCTCAAATCAGCTTATCAAACGTTAAACTGGATTAACTTAGATAACAATATTTCCTTCAAGTTTTGAATTTGTATGTATTAATATGCAGAATGTCGCCAGATTTTAAATGATTATCAGTGTGTTAGACTAGTCAAATAAGCTCATAAATATTTAAATAAAAATTATAGCATTAAAGTAGAAGATTAAATGGAATAAATTGATAATATTTTTACTTAATTTTTTTGTGTATTATTTCTTTAGTTGTGTTATTTTTATTGATGAAATACAAATAATGATAATTTGTACACTCTTGACATAAGATGTCTCTTAATCTGTCGCTGTGATAAACTATTTCTAAAAATAATGATAATCCAAGGATGACTAAACTGTAATTATTTGGGCTTAACAAACCCGAGCTTATGCATTGCGATTATATATATACACACATACACTTAAATTCACATTTACACGTGCATAATGATTAAGAATTTTAAAAGAGAAACAGTTTAAAAGTGTGAATTAGATTCGGATAATGTACGTTAGGCCTTGCTGTAAGCGTTGATCAAATAGGCATAGCTCCTAATGGTTCTTTGTATTTATATTTTATACCAATTAAAAAAATTCCAAACTGTTACAGTTATTCTTAAATAAAGTTAATTAATTAAATGAATGAACTTAAATGAAGGAAATTATGATGTACGTCGATTAATTGATTATGTTTTATTATGTTTTATGCTGTAATGTCGCATGTGTGGTTTGATCGATTTAACATCCATATTTTGTAGAAATATTAATTCAATCTATTATGTTTTATATAATTTTTATTACAATTTTGTAACAAGGCATTTTTATGTTTATAATATTACAGTTGAGCAGAGTTTAACTGTTAAAAACGTGCAGCATCTTGTATAAATACGAGAGAGTTTAGGAAAATAATAAACTTTTTTTTTAATTTTTTACTTTCTTACATTTGAAAATGTTATCTCTGTTATTTTGATGATTAACACAATCTTTAAGAAATATTAATTTTTTGTTGCATTAGGTAAAGTCTTCGTATGGTTTCATACAAAAATGCTGCTTCCATGTATAACGTTAAGGCGTGTGTAAGAACGTGTCTTTCTTGAACGTTTTTGCAAACAACACTAGCAAAATGGAGACTTCAATACGAGAAAAAATTCTCAGCTTCGCTGACGTTATAATGAGAGTACCACCTCTATTTATCATTGATGAACTACTTAGAATTGGTCTTGGACTACCTGGTGACAATATCGTGCTGGACAGCAGTGAAAATGGCTTCAAAACTGTCAATATACCAGACACAATCGTCAGTTCCATCTCCGCAGTTACGACAGGCTCGTTCCTGATGGAACATTTTGAGTTGACTCGTCTTGCTTACAAGACTTACTTGATAATCATATTTAAATTTTTATGCTGTTGTTTAGGTGAGTAGAATCTCTTTGTGTCAACTTTAACTGATTTCTGGTACAGATTAGATACTTAATAACAAAAAGATTTACCGCCGCCAGTAAGGCGGTCTTGCAAAATTGTTTCTATTTTCTGATTTGCCTTCTATCTTCTATCCCCATGTTTTTTTAATCACTGAATACAAATCTAACGTTAGATTGAAAAAGGTCAAAATGGCAAATTCAAGATGAGTATATAGGGGCTGTACTAAATTTATTGTATAATTAAATATGATTTGATTGGCGACAAAATAAGTATAGAGGTTATCAAAGTCTAATATCTTTAAGTTTTAATATTTTCTTTTTCAGGATGCATCGCAGCCTTATATACATTCATGTTGTATACTAAACATTTAATAATTGTATATCTATATCTAATCTCGGTAGGGGTGATATTCATATCATATTGGTCAAATGTTAGTACAATGAAAGCGATTATAGCTTATTTGGATGTTCATGAGTCGGCAAGCATACTTGACAACATATTATGTCTGAATTTGTCAGACGTTTTATATGATGGTCCAGGCTTTCTAATTATCCAGAACTATATATTGCAATGTCTGCTAGCCAGTATCTTTTGTTACATTCATCTCGCCCCGAGACATCCTATAGTTCAAAAGCTGCTTGTGCTGAGTTTTATGTCACCATCTATTTTGGGTATTCATCCTTTACCGGTAAGCTGACACAATATTTAAAGTTTGTAAAGAGTTTCTAATATTTTTTATCGCCTTTGTTGCTTTATTGTGAAGTATGATAGCTAGACTACATACATATAAGGAACAAAGCTTGGTAGTTTGATTAATATAAGACACATGTCTGTTTAAGGAACAATATCTCCATCATGCACCGGTATGTGCGACATTGATTCCATTGGCCGTGTGCAAATTTATCATCTGGTACAACGGTTTCGCCATGTTAAAGACGTTCTACATGGGCTATCAACATGCGCGCAACTTTATAATCAATTACGGCTTGTCCGCACTCGCGGAAACCGAATGGATGCGGTTGAATGTGCCATGCGTGCTTCGTGTATTTTGGATACTGCGAGTGGCAGAGCAAGTCGTTCAAATTCTTGGGAATCATTACGGCGAGGAGACATTCAATTATTACGTCATGATCAGGACTTTGCTGGTAAATGGCTGCGAGACTTTGACAGCTGTTCTCGGTATGACTAGCATAATATCGTTCATCTGCCACTACATCGGCTGTTTCTTCCAATGGGTGCTGCTGACGGAAGATGAAGATGAGAAAAGTATCGGCACGGTATCCGCTATATTATTCTACATTCTTGCTCTGCAGACTGGACTGACGAGTCTCGACAGAGAGAAACGTTTAGTACGATTGTGTCGTAACTTTTGCCTACTGTTCACGGCGATTTTACACTTTGTGCACAATATAGTGAACCCGCTTTTGATGTCACTCAGTGCTTCTCATAACCCGGCTCTACATAGACATTTGCGGGCTTTGGCAGTGTGTGCTTTTTTAATACTTTTTCCGGTATCGTTACTCATATTTCTCTGGTCTCACTTCACGGTGAGCACATGGTTATTGGCTGTATCCGTCTTCAGCGTTGAAGTAATAGTCAAAGTGGTGGTCTCGTTGGCTATCTATTCCCTATTTCTGATCGACGCGTATAGAAGCGCATTCTGGGAACAATTCGACGACTGCGTATACATTATAAGATCGTTCGGCAACACTGTAGAATTCGCATTCGGTATTATACTATTCTTCAACGGTTTCTGGATATTGATCTTTGAATCTGGTGGAGCTATTCGGGCCATTATGATGTGCATACACGCCTACTTTAACATATGGTGCGAAGCGAAGGCGGGGTGGAGCGTCTTTATGAAGCGACGGACGGCTGTGAATAAAATAAACTCTTTACCAGAAGCGAGAAATGAGCAACTCGAGCAACTGGATGACGTTTGCGCGATTTGCTATCAGGAGATGCAGAGCGCCAAAATCACCCAATGTAATCATTACTTCCACGGTGTATGCTTGCGAAAGTGGTTGTACGTTCAAGACCGATGTCCTCTTTGTCACGATATATTGTACAAAGTCGAAAATGTGCAAAACAGGGACGACGATGCGCCCGTGGTTGAAGAAAACGGAGCAAATGATGTTCAAGATAATGTGCAAGCCAGACAAATTTCAAATATTCCACGTGTTCAAAATAATCAGAGACAATTGATCGTGCATCCGGATGAAGACAGGTGAAGTGGCATCTAGCCACTTTTCATTGTGATATAATATATAAATAAACTTTAAATAAACAAATGTGCTACTTTCAAAGCTTGTCTCAAAAATAATGAGAGAATGATTTATTTTTTAATTTTTTACATCGACCTTGTTCGTCATTTTATGTGATTTTTAAAATATGTTTCTTAGGGACGCACATGTCGTCCCTGACGGTGGTTTTGCCATTCCTCTAGCAACAATTCCTTCTTCCATTAAAGTATGCAGAACGTACGTAGTGGCTTTTCCGATCTTGGTTGTTCCATGAAAATTTCTCTCTCTCACTCTCTCTCTTTTATTCCGTTTTCGAAAATGACAAGTTTCACAGAGCTATGTCTGGATTATCGTAAATAATATGTCATTGAGAGAAACGCTCGAATATTTCGTCCAGTTTGTTGTAAAATCTTGTAAATAGTCAAAATTTCATAGAAGACAATTATCTTGTAGGAAAGTAAAAAAAGTGTTTGGCGTGCAATCTGTCAAGCGTTCAATCTATTTAGCGTTTTGCCGATTTGCTAGATTTTTAAACAATGTATTTTTGGATTATAATTATGTTATAACTGTGTATAAAATGATGCAGTAATACAAGCTTCCACGTGCAAATTTTATGTGTCCTACCATTTTTTTAATTATGATAACATGCCAACGTACGATTCCTTTCTGAATTGCAATAGCACTTTAAGATTTCTTTATAAAATGATTAAATTAAATTAAGAAATTGATAAAAAATTAAATTTTATTACAACAAATAAATTATAAATTATAAATAATATATTCCGTTGTAAGTAAGTCATCGTAACGCTTTGCGTTTAACGCGTTGCGATTGTCACATGAGTGTCATCATTAAAGATGTGAACGAATTACTTTTTTTTTTTGAGTGAGAAATAGTTTTGCCTTTGCAAAATTGATGGCAGTCTCCATTTACTTTATATAAAATATATGAATATTTCATGAAATGTTTTTATTCGGCATTGTTTTTTAAAATTATTATCGACTATCTATAAAGTGATGTATATTTCTTATCCATCATCTGTAAAACAGATTATTTTTAAATTATTTATATACATTGTTGTAACAATTTCTTTGTAACCGTATTTCTTATATATATATATTACTTTTCAAACTTATAGACTTGATTGAAATAATAATAATTTAAAAAATTAAAAAAATGAAAATGAGTCAATTTCAATGTGTTATTGCCAATTGTTGGACGGTCATATAAACTATACAAAATACAGACTGCACATTCTAGAGTTACATTGCCAATATCTTAAAACAGCTGCATTACACATATAAAATAGTTTCGTCCCTCCCACTCTATTCTGTGTTTTACACGGTATTTAGCTCTATCCCAGAAAGTCTGTCATTGTCAGTCGCGTGCGTATCGTCGTTGGGTGTAGATTATTTTTCAATTTTGCATTCAACTACAGAACAAGCAATATACAAGTAAGTTTCTTCTACTTTTTTTCCAAGATAAAGAAAAATTATATCTATGTAATTATGGTAATTATAGTATTTTATGTAAGTTTCAAATTTTTCAAAATTATTTTGTTGCAGTTTTAGACGAATAATTTTCAAATCGGTCAGAGTAAATTCAAATAAAATTTTGCATAAATATTCGTTAAAATTTTATTATTATATAACAAAAAATCAAACTTGTTTGATAAAATGTTTCTTCTTTCTCGAATGTTAACAAGTGCTGCAAGTACACAATTTTCTATCAGAATCAAAAATTAAATAATTTTCAAACTAATTAGAGAATTGTGACTAGATTTTGCGCAGATATACGGAATAAATAATATAATAATCTACGTGAAATTTTCGCGGCCTTCTTAATGTTTTAATACGCATTCTTAATAAATTAAAAATTCAAGTTGTACTTTGTACATCGCTACTTACATGTAAAGACTGTGTATGTGTGGTGTTTAGTGATGCGCAAAAAATGACGACAAACACATTGCGTGGACGACGCACGTTGTCACACCTTGACACACAAGCTGAATTCAGATCAAAGTCGTGTGTGTGATCACAGAAGTTGATTCGATAAACAAGTTCATCTCTATTTACTTGGTATGCGATTCGATCTGTAGGTCAAGTTTAAAATTCTGCCAAGTTGTTCCATAACGGCGCCTCAAAGCGTTCGTAACATCGCATCGCCTATACTTTAGTTTATGTTACAGACGTATGTTTAATTGAAAAATTGCCATAGAAGCATCAACATCATCACACAAAAATCAATAGATAAAACGTTTTAACAAGTTTTTGTGTTTGTGCTTTATCGTACGAAATTCAAGCGCTAGGGACATCAATATGATTAGTGTAAAATAGGAAAAATATAAAAAAAAAGAAACAAAGAATATAAGTTTTTTCCGACTATTTCGTATAATTTTGATTTCGTCTTTACTACTAATTTTTTACGTAATTTGCTTGCACTGATTTACTTTGTTTATTACAAATTTCATCAGCTTTTTCGGCTCATTTCGCGAGTATGTCACCACGCTTTTGAAATACAAATTGAAATACATCCAAAATTTCACGGACCTTGATGTTGGGTCAATGCCGCCCTATTTTTATCACTGGCTTGCTCTATCGCATGACTGTTAGAAACTATTTGTAATTTATCTGTTCTTAAAGAAACCATGCTCAAGTCCTGCTTCACGCGATATTCCTCCAGCGGAGCCGATAATATTCGAGTGATTCGTTTGACAGTAGATCAGGAAGCTGTTCTGCAACAACAGTTTAACAGGTGGCCAAGGGCGCCTCATACCGCGGACGTTGTGTTGCTCGCAGCTGAAACAGGTCTTTCCGAGGCTGACGTTGAAGTGAGTAAAAACTTCAACTTTAATCTCATACAATACTCATATGTACGTTATTGTTTCGTCCTAGGGATGGTATGCCATTCGACTGGCTCAATGGCGGAAAGAACAAGGTCTCGGTGGGAATTTGGAGTTACACCGGTTATACTGATGATGACAGCGGCCAGCGGCCAGCGGCGGCTCAATTGAGAAATCTTCAATCTTCAAAATCTTGATGTCAGATGCTGACTTTTTGTGCGAGTTAAACAAATTTTTTATTATACAATCAGAGACGTCAATGTCTTTGCAGTCTTTTAAAGATTAAACAGTCATAATTCAGCATACTAGCGGATCCTGGGGGGGTTCAACCCCCCCCCCTTCCAAGTTAAAAAAATCAATTTTGCTGGATCCGTTTCAAGAATCTTGATAAAAAATGCATTAAAGCAGGTCAAAACCCCCCCTATTATCGACATCAGAATTCGTTAGTGATTCAGCATAAAAAAATCGTAAACAAAACGATCAACAATTCATTTTAACGGGGGAAAAGGTAGTATTTTACAATGTAATAATTATCGAAAAAAATAAAAATAAAATACTTTTTATATAACATTATAAGTATTAAAATATGGCAAAAATTGCCACATTTTTGAGACATTTTTCTTTAATTTTCTAAAAATCCTGATGTAAAATGCAATTTTTAAAACCATATTCAGATTCAACGTGCAAAAAACTACGGGAAACCACTCTTCGTTTTTCCCAAACAAACGTAAGACAGTGTGTGTTACCTTCGTACTAATAATTAAAAATTAAGGAAAATTATTTACATACTAAACAATGTCTTGTAAAAAAGGAAAGAATTTGTGTAACAAACGTGTCGGTCAAATATTTCTAATAGCTAAATAACAATCTATGAACACAAGTCTGTAATTATGTTCTCTAGTCAAAAATTGAAAATTAAAGTTTTATTAAGTTGCATGATATAAGTTAAGCTTTATCATATTTATACAGCAAAAATATATAAGAGAAATATTGTATAATAGGTTTTCTTATCAAATATTAGGAATGTGACCAAGTAACTAAATGACTATGTAAATATATTTAGGTTGTTAATTTCAAATATATATATATTATTCAATACATCTTCGTAATTGTACAACTGTTTTCTTTTGTCTCAAATATTTTCAAATTTTGTAACTTTTAAAAAGTAACAATTTACGAGAATCCGAAAAAAGGTGAGAAAAGAATTGCGTATCATTTTACGAGTATTGCTTATCACAGGAAATTCAAGGTTCATTACACCAATGGCCAGTCTATGTACAGAAATGTTTTATTCTTAAATTATGCACAAATTGCAATCAATACAAATGTATCTGAAACAAGCAAGTTGGGGGATATCTCAGTTTTTGGCTGCCATAAGAATATTCAGATAAAATGGCAGCTGTTTTGTTAGATGTCAATATATTGCATCAACCATCGTGTGTTTTTGCAAAATTCATGAGACACGTCCGATTAGTTGTTGTCATATCCGGAAGAAGAGACAACTGTTTTAAATTGATATAATTGATTTTTTTTTATAATATTGATCATCAATTTAAAACAATTGATCATATCTATTTTATAGCTTAGTATAGTAAAGCTAGTTTATTTGTTCAGACATCCACATTTCGACTAAGTAGTATTATAGTAATAAAGGTATGCGCTAAGTCTGCACTTTAGCTAGATATTATAAAACATGTATCATTCCTTCTCTGGCACATCATACATTGGTATTACTAAGTATACATTTACTTTCTTTTTAAATCATGCGAAACAACGCAGAAATGAATTCGATATCAAATTCTAAAGTTTGATATAGTATGCTTAGACTGTAGTAAAAGAAAAAAAGAGAAAAAAGAGAAAAAAAAGAGGGAAAAAGGCTAAATTACGTGAAAAGTGTATTCAGAAATAAAAACCGACTCCTTGTGCACATCTGATCTCGTGTTATATTCGAATAAGTCATTTTCGCAATGATCATGATATTATTAATCAACACTCAGCAATGAAACATAAAAATCTAGTGTTGTTAAATAACTCTCTACGAATAATTATAAATGAAAAACTCAATTTGCTCAAGTAAATAGAAAGGAACATCATTGGGAACACCTCTGAATCAGGATTTCTTACAGCTGCCGCCTACCATTGTTAATTGTTATGATTAACAACGGAAATCCATTTTCTTTGCACCATATATCGAGTTACATCTTAGCTATGTCGCATTTCTTTCTGGTATTCTACAGAACGATATCCAACGACGGTATGTATCAGTAGTAGCAGTTATTGATAAAACAACTCAAGTTTACTTGAATGGATTCACGCAAAGTACATTGAATATATAACGTTGATTCGAGCATGCTACTATAAAACTAAATCAACCTAAAGTCGTAGCCGGTAAAAAAAACCGCGTTTCTACAAATACCGAATAATTTCAGTAAGTACCCAAGCGACATATCCAGATGAAACCTACTCGGAGCAATAATTGACGTACGAGCCGCGTGATTATCCAGCCTAATATCGGATCGTTAAACATTAACGAGTGACCAAGGTGTACCGTAGAGTACATTCGTAGCCACTGCCACATAAGTTAGGAGCTCGGTATAAAAATGAGGCACAGTTTCACAATCAGGGAATCCTTCTTACCAAATATCTATCCTCTATCTCCCAATGAATGTATCCATATATCAAACATGACAGTGTAATTACCATCATTAAACTAAACCATGCATGGATATTAATATGTGTCCTTAAATGTGTTTAAGGAGAGTGATGATTTTTTTTTTCTTAAACAATTGTCGTATTCTTATCGGTAGCAAACAGTCTTAACAACGAGCGCGTAGACTAATCATGTTGCGTTCCATAATCGTGTAGTCCTTGCATCGGTATGCGTCATGTTACGTGCTTGGGAGTTAATAGCTCTCATCAGGTGTAACGTAGCAACGTTAATAGTGGTTGTCGATAACGCAACGGTTGCTTTAGCCACTGGTACCGTTAACCAGAGCTTCTTTAGGCTTATTGCTCTGCTGCATACGAGGAGGACGAGACCGATGTTCTCTTTGACCTTTAGGTCCTTGGGAACTGCTGTTAGATACGGAAACGTCGTTCGCGGGAGTTCCTTCCTTGCTGTTCATTGTTGATTGATCGCACGGGCCGGCATTACTGCCTAAACAAATGCATAAGATTAACTCTGAATGTTTTTGTTTATACAGATGATAGGCATCTATGTGCGTATCAATCTATATTAAAAAGCTTTTAATCCCTTAAATGTTAGGAATGTTTCATTTTTTTCAACAATCTATTCTACGAAACGATTAAATTTTTCTGTCAATTTTTCTGTTGTATATATGTATTCGGGCCACTAAATTTAAATCTGCGGTAGAAATGTTGGAATTTTTTATTGTGTGAATCCAATGTGACCATTTTGAACTCAATTAACAATGTGAAAAATTGCAAAATTTTGATCAAAAAATTCGAAATCAGCGATCCCACAAAACGACCAAGAGTACAGTGAATACATTTTACGAAAATTCTTGGAAAATATTTTCTTTGAAATGACGCATATGCGTCATTAATGTCTTAAGGGATTAATACAACCGATCGTCCTAAAGAATGTCACGCATGCCTTTGTTCGAAGCTGGGTAGTGTCGTCAGTGGAGGTTCGATGGCTATGCTTCACAAACTGCGCCCCCCCCCCCCCCGTATACTAATGTAATAGTGTAAACTGTGTAGTTTAGCAAATTAATGTATTTTTAATTACGATTAAATAATTAAATTACTAAGCAGTTAAGATGTCTAGTTTATGGATATTACTATAATGTAAAAGTCTTCAATTAGGAAATTGCAAGTTTACGCGCAATTTTGTTTTGAAAGTAAGTTACCTGTTTGAGTAATACTTGTCGGCGTCATACTTGGTTGTCGCAAACGTCCAAGTCGCCTTCGTCTTATTCCTTTAGATCCTCCTTCCATACTCGACACTGACTCTACATGCACACAACTATTGTGACCATCTATCTTCAACTCGTAACAAAAATTAACACTTAAATTGTAAACTTGGCCAAATATAACGGAAGCTGCACTGCCTACGTTAATAGCATGCATTAGAATAAAATTCGACTAGATTAGCGTTAGATGGTCACAAGAGTTTGCTTCATATTTCATGCGAATTACATGCTCACGTTCATAGTCGATAATTATATAAAATTTCAGTAATCATAATTTTATAAATCCTTGATTGTTTGTCAATTTTTACTCGACTCTTACAAGAATTTATAGTCTTCAAGTAAGCTTTGACTTATCAAACGTCTATTCGTACTTGTCACTTGTCATTTTGTCTCAGATTTTTTAATGATAGATTTAATTGTGTTGCTTATTTCAAAGACAAATTGCACATGTATATACATACATACATACATATATACACATACATACAAAATTATTTTAATATTATTAAAGATAAAGACTGACAATGTTAGCACAAAGGCAAAGAATGAAAATCTGACACATCACGTTGATTTCAACAGGTAACAGACATTCAACATATTTGCGTTCTCTTTATCTAGCTCATTTTCAGTTATTGTATCAGTGATCAATCCATAATAAATTTCTATACAATAGCTGAATAATTTTTGAAGACAAATTACACGAGAAATCAATAGACGATATTAAACCGATGCTTGAGAGAAAAGTTATTATTAATTATAATTAAAGGCCTTATTTGTCAAAACGATGATTATTTGAGTTATTAATTAAAGATTCCAACTGTGAATTCTTACAAAAAATCAAAGATTATTCATATATTATAAACTTTAAATAACATATTTTTCTAATTAAAAATTTATAAAACAAATATTTGTAAAATATCAATCAAAATAACGATTTATGAATACAAATCTGTAATTAATTACGCTCTCAATAAAAAACGGAAACTTTTTTACGATTATGAATAATGACCTAAAAGTAGTTTGATACACCATATGTTGTTATCTTTAGGACGAAACGGTAAGGTTACGATCAATGTGCACACAGACATACACACGCACGCACGCACGCACGCACGCACGCACGCACGCACGCACGCACGCACGCACGCACGCACGCAAAATAATGCTAAAGTAGCTTTAATATGCAAAATAATGAGGATTATTACCTCTATCAATGCTTGAAACGTCTTGGCTGTCTAAAACAGTGTCTTCGTCGTCTGTGGTACGACGACGTTCGTCTCTACGATCTCTACGCTGGGTTGGGGGACGACCTTGCCTGCCACTCATATACCCTGAATTACCGGCACCTCCTTGATGGCCGCCTCTCGGTGGTAAATCTCGGACACGATCTTCACTGCCGTCTAAAGTGTCTCTACGTAAACCTGAAGAGGAATGTCAATGGTCAATAGTGAGAATTTTCACAAAGTAAACCACAATAAAAAAAATATATATTTTTACTTGCATTTTATAATACCCAGATAGATAAGATTAAGATCAGATAGGTAGTCACGCAAAATCAATTTCTTTAGATTTTCGTAAAATTTTGACTAGTTAATCAGAACGATATCTTAACATTTGAATATAAGCTATAAAAAAAGAAATTCACCGTTTTAAAATTGAAATATCTATAATTGTAAATAACACTATTACCTATTATTATGTAACATTTGTATCAAACTGGTATTAATACTTCATTTTTTAAATTTTATCGTCCAAACCGTGTACATATTTGTTTGTTAAATAAACGTAGTGAAAAGTACGCAATTTTTAATATGTTTGACATGTAAAAAGATTAAGCGATAAAAATGGTCAGAATGGTGTGCAATAGATATGTGTGTATATTTGTAGTTGACGTATGTACTTGCACGTAGGTACGCTAATAAACAAACACAACGAAAAGTTTACTGTTAAAATAGGATTTCCAGTATAGTGATAAATTTATGATGAGAATCTATGATGGATAACTGTTCCGGTCCCAGTGTCACATCTGTCATATTACGGCACTCGTTCGAGTTTTAGTAAAATAAGCAACAATTCCGCAAGGATAAGTGAACCGCACAGTCATTTGGGCTTAGTAAACTCACGGACTTGAGCTCATTGCGGTCTATACACATATCCACACCAACACATAATTGGACACAAGTGATCAAGAAAGATAAAATTGGTTAGACAAAGTAGACCTTAGTCTTTGCCAGAATTAAAGAAGAAGAAGAAGAAGAAGAAGAAGAAGAAGAAGAAGAAGAAGAAGAAGAAATAAGCAATAATATTACCGGCATTGTGTCTGGTGGGAGCTCTACCTCGAGAGCCACGTCCTCGCGATTGACCACCACGACCACCACGACCACTGACACCCTCTTCAGGTCCTGCAACCATTCCTCGTCTCGTGGGAGGAAAACTAGGTATCGGTCCTGTAGTCGAGCCGTGCATACTTCGTAATTGTTGATCAATTTCCAATTTCTCCTGTCGAAGCTGCTCTACTTCCTACAGTACACATTATATGATACACAGTATAATAATTCCTTGATATTCAAATATACGAAAGTGGTCCAAGAAGTAAATATACATAAGCGGAATAAAAATTAAAAGAAAAAAAGGCTAAAAACATTCTTAACCGTTCGAATGCCAAGTGCGACAACGCCTTTTCTCCTTCATGTCGAAAAGTATCAGCGAGTGCTGCAAAAGGCTCATTGATTTTTAACAAGTTAAATTAGTTGAATAGTTATATGGGAAATGGAAAATATAATTAAACTGTACAACAGTTTCATAAGAGCGCTCGTTCATATCTTTCGACATAAATGTCGAAATAAAAGGGGCCATCACGGGGTTGCTTGACATTTTTCACATTCTTGCATCGGCATTCAAACGTGTCGCGCTAAATCATTTTCTCCAGAATATTTTCAAGTGTTAACTTTAAGATGTTAATCAAAATGTTATCTAGCCTAAATATCTATGTAATGATATAAAGTGACCGTTTAAAAGCTGAGAGATATTTATAATAGCACTATCAAAAAAATGTTACATTTATACCAAGCTGTTGCTAATGCATTATTTTCAAATCCATAAATCACACTTAAGATTTTTACAAAAAAACAAAACAACTGAATAGCAGAAGAAAAATATATATAAACATTGAAAAAAAGTTTTAGATTATTTATCGTGTAATTTTTAAATAAATGCGATAAAAAAAATGCAAGTTTTAATACGCTTAACATATATAAAAGATCAAGTGGTGAAAATGTAGCAACAAAGTGCTATAGCCGAATGTATGTTAAGTGCACGTTGTTCAATAAATGCGATTAAAAGTTTATTCTCTCAGATTTAAGAGAAAATATATTTGTAAAAAGATTGTCAAATATTACTAAATACTTTTGATGTTTTTTCCCTCCCAATCAGTAATATGTTGTCAGAGAGACATTTTAGTTAAATTATTTGAACTTTTTCTTATATCGTGGAACTTGATTTTTTAATGGTATATTGCCTCACATAGGTACATTCAGTTACTTATCAACATAACCACCACTCTCGTCAAGACATTTATTTAGCCTGGATGCAAGTGTTGTATTCCGATTTCAAGTTTCAGTTCCGCCGCTGGTGTATCCAGTCTTCTGAACTGTGAAAGAGAAATCATTCAAGATTTCCCACTTGAAACTTTGCAGCCAGTTTACAATTTGAGCAATTTTTATTTGTTTCCTGTTCTTAAAGAAATGTTTGGCCGATAAAAAGTTTGACGAAGACAAAGAGGTAAAAATAAAGTATAATAATTGTACGCGCGGGTAGTGGAATTCTGTAACATCGGACTACAAAGACTTTTAGGCTGAATAAATGCTTTGACACTAAACTAAAGTGCTGATTATGTTGAAATATTAATTAAATATGTTTTAAAAACGTCTATCCGACTTTGTAATAAATATAATAAATATATCTTCATATCTTGCAACTCTATTGAGATGTTTGTTTTACATGAAACACACATTAGAATTGCACGATACTTGGACGTGAAATTGTACCTTTAAATGTGCCAAATGATATTCCAATAGAACTTTGGCATTGGCGATGCTTTCAACAGTACCGACAAAGACAAAGGGCACCTGACCTTCCTCCCGCGGAATCGTTGGTTGAGGTTCGTTGTCTCCTTCTATTTTTACCCTTACCTGAAATTCGCAATTATTAAAATTGCGTTTTCAATACACTTAGAGACATTGATTACCGGCAAGAGATATTTAAAATCGTATTTCAGCCCATCAGTTTTCAGTCACTGCCGTTTGTCATTTCCATCAATAGACTTGTTGATCAGTCTGCGAAAATTTGCTTAAATATTCTTTATATTCTTTATATTCTTTACATCCCGAAAGGGACCTCAGTTTGGAAAAAGTGTCGATACGTTTGAAAAGTACAATAAAAATGTATCAATACTTTTACCTTTCTTACATTAACATCTTTTTTGAACAATACCTATCGCGATTATAAATTTTTACATCAGTCAGATGGCAGAACCTTTACTTTTTCAACATTAAAATTTTGGGAATAATATACATCGCAATTATAAGTTTTCGCATTGATAAAGTGTATGGCAATTATAATGTAGATTTATGATCATAGAGAGATCCCAAGAGAGATATAGTTTAGAGATCTTTTGCTTTTTATGATCAGGGGATCATTTTTTCAACATGAATATTTCTCTGTATAAACATTTTTTTCTGAAAATATTCACAAGAGCAATGTCATTTTAAATCTTAACATTACATAGGACAACACATGTATGTATGACATATGTTATTGCAATATAATAATATTATCACAAGATAATAATATTAGTGTCGCCGACTTGAAGTGCCTTCCTCAAAAGTAATAATGTAAAGGTTATTTTAATTTAAAAATTAAAATAATTTTAAAGATCGTCATAAAAGATCTACAAAAAAAAAATAAAAATAAAGTAATAATGTGATTTACATTGTAAAATTTAACGACAAACTGTAGAGAGAGAAAAAAAATTTCTTATTTGTATCTCAACATTTTCAAGCTTACGCGTCGAAATAGATCATTCAAACTAATAGTGTAAAAGAATGTTTAATTTTATTTTGTATTTAAAATTTAAATATGTGTGACAAAAGTAACATTTTAAACGATTAAATCGAACCAACAAAATTATTCAATTGCTCATTCATCGATGCATGTATATTCTGTTTTCTCTTCATTTTATCTATTAAAAAGATTTCTGCTTTTCAAGATGCAATATTTTTTACTTTGGAACAAAACTTAGTAAGGTAAAAAATCTTGCATTTTCATAAAAATAAAATTTTATCCAATTTTGCCGAAAATTTTTATCAATTTTTAATTGCGAGGTTGTCTTCGTCACTTTGGTTCGTTTGAAAAAAACACATTGTCGTCGTTAAAACAACGTATCGTCTTTTTCCTGTGTCCTTCGTGTCAATGAATACAAAATAACAATAAAAAGAAATTTAAACTGTCAAATTGGTCACTCGTTATCAAAGAACTGTAATAAGATTACTGTTTCTATTACAGATAGAAAAAAGTGAGCAACGCCGTTATCGATAAATTATCGAAGAAAGTAACTGTAACGGTAAGGACGTTACAACGAGTTACTTCTCAATCCTACCATATATACACAATGCACATTTAGCGTTAAATAAGCGGCCATATAATCATCAATATCATAGCAGTGATTTGATATTTGACACAGACAAATCATATTTAGAGCGAAGCAGTCAGTCACTTTTAATGCTAAATGTGAAATATGAATACAGGCCTGATTATACAAATAAAAGATAGTTATTTGACACAACTTAAAAGAACTGGCCCGAGTGGTTTCATGTAAGACTTGCGAGTGCTTCCAGACATGGTATGAATAATTGATTGAAGAAATTTGATGGAATAAAATTACAAACAATAGAAAATGACATACTTACTTTATCAACATGTATATTCCCACTCGAGCCAGTTGTTATCTACCGAGAACAAACAAGGTATATCATACATAATCTAACGTCTCATGAATATTATAACTTCCATTTTCAATTGAATGTTGGATCATAATAATTTTGACTGCAGAGTTCTTAAATACAACCCGACGCAAATAAACTCTGAGAATTTGTGTATATGTTGTGTAATGCAAAGCGCCTGCAATAACTGTTATAATTGAAACGCGTGTTGGAAATTTCGGCAACAATTGCTACATACCCTGAGTGATATATGTATATATATATATATATATATATATATATATATATATATATATATATATATATGTTTTATATATACATATCAAATAGATATATCAGTAGATGTAGAAGATCTGTAAAGTATTACATATAATCCATGTACACTTTAAATTTAATAGTTCTAATAAAATCATATTGTATCAACTGAAAATGAAAATTGATATGCTTATATAATACTAGAGTTGTTGTATTCAATCATCTTTTTTTCTCAGATATTATTAATTCAGGAACAAGAATTAATCCCTACCTGAGATATCAACTCTGTGAAAGTAGTAGTTGGGAATATAAACACACACACGCGCGCGCACACACACCCACACACACTCACACACGCACATTCTCTCTCTCTCCTTTTTTTACAAACTGATAATAAAATATACTTACTACACCACTTTTGTCGACGATTTCTTGGATAATGCGACCATTTTTCCCAATTACTTTTCCTACCAAAACCCGTGGAACTTGTATAGATTCCTCACTGTATTCCAGCATCGATCGAGCTTTTTTCACTGCTTCATGTGTCTGCGATTGAGAAAGATACTCGATAAATTCTCTATACTTGTCGAAATAATGTATATCACATAGAACCATTTCACAAATAAATAACTGGCAAATGTTCTAAAACAGTCACAAATAATAATTTGTCATTGATACCTCTCCATATATTTTAAATGTGCATGAATTTTCTTCTAATTCTATATTTGTAATGCCATCAACTTTTCGTGCTTGCTGAATATTTGCACCATGAGCACCGATAGCTAGTCCCATAAGATCTTCTCGAACATTAAATTCGTCAGTATATCTAAAAGAAGACAAAATAAGATTTTCGTATTTTCTTTATGATTTCTTTTTTCCAAAAATGACATATTTTACAAATTTTGTGAAAACAACAATTAAACATTTTAAAACCTAAAATTTAACAAGAAAAAAAAATATATATATATTTAATATTTGTATATGTTTTTTACATTTTTTATCTCCTCGTTTCAACATTAATTTCTCAATTATAGCTTGAATGTTATTGTTATATGAGATAAACCTTCTAATATTTATTAATTTTACAATATAAATATTTGTCGCGCAACATGCTACAAGTACAATATATTGATATTATAGAAAAGCAAAAAATATGACACATCTTTCTAGAATATCCTTGTCAATGGCTTGCATTTTTGGCAGATACAAATAAATTATTTCTATTAAAGCTGTGGATATCTGTAATAATGACAATTTTATCTGATATGTCTGAAAACATACAATAGCCATGCAACATACGTAAATATATACAGTAGCAGAAAGGGAAAAGTTAAAATATTTCTCAAGTGTTTCTATATTTCAAACCAAATTCTGCCTGAAAACTTTCTCGACATTATACATATATATAATGTAAATGTTAGGCAATCGTACATGCACTCATTAATTAAAATTATATATTGCAGTATCATTAATTTCTCTTTTTTATATTCCAAATATATAATTATGCACTCTTTACAATGGCTAATTTATAAAAAGACAGAATAGCAAAGATTCTAATTTACATTTTGTTTATAATATGATACTTGTACGTTATTATATCACAAACTTAACGAAAAATTTTCATTTTCTTGAGAAAGTAAACTATTGTAGCACACTCGCGACTAAAGCAATACAACATTGTCTACGTATAAAGATCAGTCAAGATATGCCGAACAAAGTGTTTTAGTATTGTCAATGTTACCTACGATTAAAATATTCATATTCTTAAAATAGAATATACAATAGTTTCAACTGATGACTTTTCTATAACTTTTGTTGTGTGTCGTGTACACATTTTCGTAACAATACATGGGATAGAGCCACCATTTGCATAAATATATGTGCTAGATGGATTATATCAGTGTTTCTCAAACATTGGCAGGCCAAGAGTTTCGGCGTTCTTGAAAAACAATAGGATTAAGAATCTACTTAATGTATAAATCAATACAAAATGAAATTGGGAACTGATCACAGCTACACGTATATATTTGTTGGCTACCTCACCAAGATCCTACTACACAGCACATAATAAATGGAGAAAGATATAAATAATCGTTTTATATATCAGTGTACTTGAAGCACATGGATTTTAGTGAATATACTACATAACGCTGAAGCATGCACGTTTAAAGTGTAGATCCATTTGTCCTTTAAAAAATGTAATTGTGTTTTATCATACAGTAAGCTAAACTTAACTCTAAACCACGCTGCTGTGATCTCACCTTGAATTTGTTTTCACTCCTGCCTCAAAGTCTGAGACACGCTGATATATAAAGTTTGAAGATCTAAATTTGCTGAAATAAGAATGGTGCAACTCAGTGAAAACTCATTATAGAATGGCCCTATCCTATGTCCCTGCCATTCTGTCTGTTTGCTCTTGATTAATGCGTGCAGACACTCAAGTACGACACTTTCTTCTAAGTTTATTTGCGTAAATGTTGCTAATGTAGAATCTGTTGAAGCTTTTGATATATATATATAAAAAGCTCTGATTGTAAAATCAATTTTCAAAGTTGGAAAATTAAAATGTCTGCACTTTTTTCAGCTTGAATAATCTTCAATAACTTTTAGTTTACATTTGTTATGTTTGTGTTTTTAACAATGTTTATAAACTATATATATGCGCGCGTTGGGAAGGAAGATTACGCACGCACACATGCACAGAATCTCATTTCAAGTGAGTATCTAAAATATCTCATAACGTATTCATTTTTCAACTACCTTACCTTAACATTTTTATACGTAGAATGATAAGAGGAACCAATTGGTTGTACTAATTTTTGCACTTATAATTTTGCAAAGTATACCAATGCGAAATGCAATGGAATTTTTGAAAAGAATTCCTTGTGTTTTTTCTCAATATCAATCGTTTCCTCTCGTTAGCATATTTTAATCTTGTTTATTTGTTTTTATAATTATATAATATTTTTAGTCTTGTAAGACAAAATATTTAATTTCCGTATCACTTGTGTACCATTTGTCAAGTTTATTTTTTATTTCAAAAGTGCATATCTATTAAATTATTTTTTTCCATCTGTAAACATTATGAGTAAAAAATCAAAGGCAGTATAAATTCAAGGAGTGATCAAATATTTGTGTAAATATTCTACAATATGTAATATTTTCATATGTTATTCTGATTGAAATAATATATCAATTACTATAAAATTTAGTTAATACATTTAAAACAGCATTCCCTCCTTTAAAAAAATATTTTAGTAAAATAATCAGTAATGATTGTGTCTGCGATGCATATGACCATGCTTATGATCTAATGTTTTAGCGGAAGGTATCTGCCATAACGCAAAAATAAATTAATTACAGTGCATATAAAATTCCTTATTGTACTTGTATTTTACTTGTTATAATAGAAGATGAGTTTAAACGAACACAGTTAATTGTGAACCTTAATAATATAAAATTCTATCATAATAGTTCAATATTTTATGTATCATAATAGTCATATTCCTGATAGAGATGGAAAAAATAAGAAACAAGATGTATGATAAACACTACTTATGATATACCTATGTAATCACATTCATGAAGTTACATGATATTAAAGCGGACATATTGAGATTAATGATTAGAAATCTTGTGATCTAATTTTCTGCCAGTAAATGCAAACCACAGACAGGATGGTAACCAGGACAGTACATGGACAAGGGCAGGTAAACAATCTCACAAGATTTTTTGTTATTTACAAAAATTAAAAAATATTAATAACTTACCCCCCTATTGTTTGAAGTTTAGTGGATTCAAGCTGACGTGCCGCTTCTTCGGTTCTTTTCAATAGCAAAACCTACAAAGTATTTAAGTATATTTAAGTATTTAAGTATATTTGCAAATATTTGTACGTGCATGTACACATACGCAAACACAGTAGACTTTTTCGAATATCAAAGTTAAAGCAATTCACCTTTTGCGATAAGTTTCGAAAGTGCATTTCTTGGAGCATGCTACTGTGACGATGTAGATTTTCATGACGGGAGATGGCCAGCAGTACTCCTCGTTCAGGCACATATCGGCACACTGCTGCCCCTATCGCTTTTTGAAATTCCTTATGTGCATTGTCCATCTTCGCACTGTAATAAGTAACACACTTGACTTAATTATTTCTTTATATACCTAATTCCTCAAGTTTCAACAATGCATATATATATATATATACACACACACGTTATTTGAAAATTGACTGCTAGTGTGTAATGACTTTTAAAAAATAAGTACTTTTCAATTAAAGAATTTCTCCAAAGACACATCCATAAACTTTACGGGATTGCTAAATTTGAATCTGTGGTCAAAATTTTCAAATTTGGCAATATGGCAAATCTTTAATATAGCACATGAATATTTGAAAAATTATTCTATTCTTATCAAATTTATTTTTACGAGTTATGATTTTTTTATTTCAAATATGGCATCAACATTTTTTAATTCAATGAAATATTATTTCTATAGAACAAAATAAAATTTATTCTATTTCAAAATTTTAATCTACATATCGCATTTAATTAAATATCAACAAACTTTTGAACTCAACCATATTTTATCTTATACTTTTTACTTTATTCTTGAATTAAAAAATTTACATCTTAATTTTCAAATTAGAAATTTGCAAAACTTGCCAAAAAAGAACTTTTGTAAAATCCATTATATAAAATCCATATTTTTACTTTTCAATTGTCACATTGAGTTTGCGCGCGCGCGCGATTCAGAACCCCAAACTTTCAGCTGTAGATTCCAATTCAATGTGCAAAAAAATTTCACATAAGTAGAATTATTTTTCTCATGGAAATCATTTAATAATAGTAATAAAGTGCTCTTTTATTAACACTTGGGAAATTTTAAAAAGCTATTTTATAGAAATGTCAAACTTTGAATAACGATTATAATTACTATCCTTAAATATATACAAATTTCTTTATTTAGATACTTATATATCACAAATAACTTATTTCCTTCTTTTTAATTACTCACAATTCTCTGAGCTCTTCAGGTACTTCAATTTCGATCTTGTGAAATGTGTTTTTGTCAATAGGCGGATTTGGATTTTTGGCTCTTAGTCGCTCGCTAGCTACAATTTCAGTATATGTGTAGTCCCATCCCAAGTATTCCACTACTTGGAAACCTCCTTTACTCATCTAAAGAATTATATAATTAAAAAATAAAGATTTTACATCACATAATAATATTAATCAATTTTTCTATCTCTATTTCTCTTTCTATTTCATATCTTGGCTGTATTTTTCGCATTAAAAAGTATTAAATTACATTACGTTGTATTAAATCATATTTTCAAGTATGTGTACGCGCAAAACGTGCACATGTGTGTGTGATGAAAAAGATCGTCATTTTTCTATATTTTCTAATTTGCTACAAAATAAATATCTTTATTATAAAACTAAACTTTAAAATAAAATTCTATACATATCTGCTCAAAATTATAAATGGACGAATAAACATGATGCTCTCTAAAGCATTTCTTTAAACTTGTTTTATGACACAAATCAACTTTTGGAAAAAAATGCAAAATATTTAAAAATAATTACGATATTTCTTATATAGTAAAAATTTGATGTAAGCTTAATTATGAGTTTTCTATCTCTTAAAAAAATATAACAAAAATGACACGTAAAGTTTCTTTCTTTAAGACTCAATTTTTATCTAAATTTTATAAATAACAATTGTGGATCAATTTTAGTAAAAAATTTATGGCTTGTAGATATTAAAACAACCTAAAAAACTAACATTTTGTTATAAAAAACCCTTTCTTCTTTTCTTTGAATAGGCACAGATGATAATATTCCGTTTGAAAGCTATTGTAATTTAATAATGGGGTTTATTACTAATTATTATTATAATTTATCTTCTTTTTAGAAAATAAATAAATTCCAAATTATCTTGAGAAGTGCTATTAAGAGATAATGCAAGTGTGTGTATATCTACGTACGGAAATACATATTGTTATATACATTACACAAGTTTAGATTTGTTAAAAAATTGCTTTACATACCTTGATAAGTGCTTTCCACCAACCCCACGCTTCCTGATCATTAGATCTAGAGAATACTTCAATCTCCTGGTTCTCTTGAAATTCTGATTTGGAACCATCTTTTGGAGGTAGACGGACTTGAGCAAATGGGAATTTCGATTCTGGTTGCCAGCTAAAATGTGCATTATAAATTTAATTAGAGTTTAAGTTGTATAATTATCATACTTTATATTACATTCTGCATGAAGTATCGCGTTATAAAAAATATTTAAGTACAGGTTTTTTACATGTATGTTTAAAAAACTATATATAAAACAGAAAGATATTTATTTTAATCAGATCTTTATTAATAAAAAAAAAGTTTGGAAAATATTACAACAGCGTAGCAAAATAGCCAAAAATGTGTATTTGTATACATATTAGTATATTTAAGTAATACACATAATACTCTGAAGTTATTTTACAAGTTGTTGCAATCTACAACAATTATAAACTGGAATGCTCTATTCATGTACAAATGCATATTACATCTTTTATTTTATTGTTTTATATATATATATATATATATATACATATACGTACACACATATACATACACATATATATGTACATATGCACATAATCAGTATTAAACTTTTCACAACAATTAATATTTATTTACATTTAAAAAGTAAAGATTTCTGATTTTGCATTATATTTTTTATCAATTGTTATTATGAAAATCCATTGTATATTATGAAAGACAAATATAACCGTCTTATGCGAATTAATGCATTACACGATTATAGATATTAAAAGTATCGCATAAGATACACAAGATTTCAACACAATAATATATCATTTCATACTAAGAAATATAGAGTATAGCTATCAATAAATTTTGAAAAATTATCATGTAAATTTAAAATGTTTATTAGCAAGAAAGGAGCAAACCATTGATAATTTACCATTGTGTATCGATATACAATAATACAAAGGTTTTCAACAGATTCCATAATATTGTATTGGCATAAGGCATCGAGATATAAATCAGAGATATAAAAAAATATTACATGCTCTTGTCAAATATGAGAAGTAGAGAGAGAAAAACTTACTCATTCTCAAAAGTTACCAAAACTTCCTCGTCAAAGACATCAGTGACAAAGGCCTGAAAAAAGTTTTACATAAAGCATATAATAAATAGTTGTCTTTACAAGAATCAGGAGTGTAGCGAGTAATGTGGATTAGTTGAACGTAAAATCGCAATTCATAGGGATGGGAAGGGGAGTAAGGTGCGGGAAGGTCATGCAGTTAGGGATTTGCATGTCATTTTGATATGTGTCGTTAACAAGTTTCCCAGAGTCGAGCGGATCGTCGCGCACGGCAATACGAACCGAAAGGAAAATCACGCCCTGTCAAACGAGACATGGCGTCGGAAGAAGCCGCGTTAGTTCGCGAACATTTGAGGACCGTGCATTCAAGAAGTACGAACTCCCGTTTCACGAGATTACGACCGCACCGCGGCTCGCAGCTCGGCCTATCTATCGCTCGTGTCCTCCACCCGCTTTTTTGTATACTTTCCACAGAACGAACCTTATAATACGCTCCGTTTTCGCCGCATACTTCGACTGTGAGATCCTCCATCTTGCTTTTGTGTGACGGTTCGCCTCCTTTGCGGTAGGCATGCTGAAGAGCGGGCACCCGCACGAATTCGGGGCTGCGAATTTCCTGTTCGCCAATCATGCG